TATACCATCCTTTTTTGTTAGTATAGGTGTTTTGGGAAGTTCAAGATCCTTCTGATTCAAATTCTTTATGTCATCATGAAGAGAAGAGAGGATCCCTATTATTTTGTTAGGAGGATAATCATCAGTAGTAGTTTTAGAAGGAATTAGAGAAAGAGCGTCAGCCTTTTTATTTCTAGTTCCAGGTCTGTATATTAATTGGAAGTTAAATCGGTAAAAAAATAGGTTCCATCTAACTTGTCTAGCTGTAAGGGTTTTGTTAGTATAGAGATATTCAAGATTTTTATGGTCAGTATAAACTATTATAGGTTGTTTTGTATCTTCCAGAAGATGACGCCAATTTTCGAAGGCAGCTTTAACACTTAATAATTCTTTTTCACCAATAGGATAAATTTTTTCAGCAGAGCTCAAGGATCTTGAAAAAAAGGCAACTGGATGAAGTGGATCTTGTGGAGTCTTTTGTTGAGAAAGAACTGCTCCGATGGCTGCATCTGATGCATCAACTTCAAGAACATATAAGAATGTTGGATTAGGTAGTTGTAGAATAGGTGCAGTTGTAAATCTTTTTTTTAATTCGTCGAAGGCTGTTTGTGCATCTTTATTCCAATTGAAAGGACGTTTACTACTGTTGAGGAGGTTAAGAGGATGTGATACATCCGAATAGTTTCTAATAAATTTTCTATAGAAGTTTGCAAATCCAAGAAAACGTTGTAATTCTTTTGTAGTAGTAGGAGCGGGCCAGTCAATAATAGATTTGATTTTGGAATTATCCATCTTCAAAGAATGAGGTGAAATAATGTATCCTAGAAAAGAGAATTCAGTAACCTCAAAAAGGCATTTTTCTGGTTTAGCGTATAATTTATGAGTTCTCAGTCTAGATAGAACCCATCTAACATGCTTCCTATGTTCATCCAAATTGTTAGAATATATTAAGATATCATCTAAGTAGATAATAACACATATATCCAGAAGATCTCTAAAGATATCATTTATAAAATGTTGAAATGTTGCAGGGGCATTACAGAGCCCAAAAGGCATCACTAGATATTCGTAGAGACCATATCTTGTCCGGAAGGCGGTTTTCCATTCATCATCCTGTTTTATTCTAATGAGGTTATATGCGCCTCGAAGGTCGAGTTTAGTGAATATAGTTGCAGTTCTTAATCTTTCAATTAATTCATTTATTAGTGGAAGAGGATAACGATTTTTAATAGTTATTTTATTTAAGGCTCTGTAATCTATAATAGGACGGATGGTTTGGTCTTTATTCTTCACAAAGAAAATACCAGAAGCAGCTGGGGAGGTCGAGGGTCTGATGAACCCTTTGCGTAAATTTTCATTAAAATATTCTTTTAAAATTTCTAACTCGAGGGCGTGGCTTGGCGCTCGGCGAGGACGGTCGCATGTGAGAGAGGCTCCGTCCGAAACTGGCCCAAAAGCGACTGAACTAGCAACTTGATCACAAAAAAAAACCTCACCACAACACCCCTCAACATGGCCCAACAAAAGGGGAAACGGAATCCCGACAAACCCGACAAAAACGGGTTCTTTACGGCCCGAAACCAGCCATCAAGAGCTCAGAGTGTGCCGGACCAAGATGGCGACGACACACTCCCTTTACAGGGATCCCCTGGGGAAACAGCCCTCCCAGTCACTCAAGCTATCCTCCAGACATGTCTCGACGATATGTCAGAGAAATTACTGCACAACTTTAACAAATCCATCTCAGATCTACGAAAAGACGTCCAGGAATTGGGAGACCGGACTGCCCATATGGAAAACCGCATGGGCGAATACGCGGAGGCACACAACGATATGGCTGACCATGTTCAGCACCTGGAACAAGAACTAGCAGCATGCCAAAACAAACTTATGGACTTGGAGGATCGGTCTAGAAGGCACAACATACGTTTCAGAGGTATACCTGAAGCCGTTAAACAAACGGATATAGTAGCACACCTCACTGATCTATTTAAAACTCTGGCTCCGGATCTCCCAGCGGACGTCCTCCTCATTGACAGAGCCCACAGAGTTATGAAGCCTAAATTCCTCCCAGAAGAAGCCCCCAGGGACATACTCGCCTGTCTCCACTACTACCACGCAAAGGAAGCACTAATGCAGGCATCCAGGCGGCGGAAGGACCTCCCGGCCCCGTATAACACCATTCAACTCTACTCCGACCTCTCAGCGAGAACTCTGCAGAAGAGGAGAGAATTTAAAGCGATAACGGATGCGCTCCATCTCCACGGCATGCCGTACCGCTGGGGTCACCCAGTGCGCCTCCTCGTTCACAAAAATGGAGTTATCAACACCATCACCACCCCGGAGGAAGGCAAGAAAGCCCTGAAGAAATGGGGCATACCATTTCAACCCAACACCCACCCAAGGCAGGACAACCAGCAACACCCGACCAAGCTACACTCTGACTGGAAGAAACAGCGAGCCGGAGGGAGAGAGTAATAAGCCCCAGCAATGAGATGAAGCTCTATACGCCTAGAGACTCGCTACAGCTGCGAAAATGGCGCGAAGCCATCCAGATAAGCGGTCCCCACGCAATTAAACTCAAATTGGACTGAAGGTGTCTTACACCGGACTATGTGTTGCTTTGTCTTGTACACAGATGACTGTCCGTCGGACAGGTGACTATGCTGCCCCCCATACACTCATACCACACAGGCCCATATAACCTCTGCCAGCAACACTGTCGCACCACACTTGCACCACGGCATGTGTACACACCGGTGGGCATCCGGATTAACGTACCGGGGTGTACTATAAGCGAGGTATGCAGGCAGACACTACAGCAACACACTCATGCATACACCACACGACGGGGGGGAATCAGCACACTGGAACACATCTGTGCTACACAAGCCCGAAGCTCCATAGTGTTGCTAATACCAGTTAAATGTTAATGTATGCTAAAGGGTTCAAGCATATCAACCTTCACTATATCAAAAAAAAAAACCCATGGGCCCACTGACTTTGGCGGTAACCATCTGGCAGCCATGAGGGCACTGCTCATAGATGCACGTGATCACAGCATTCAAATGCGGCCAATACTTGGCTTATATCACACTCCTCAACCACGCTCCGAATGGCACCGAAGTTCGGTACCTCAACCCATAACTGGGTTATAGTTTTACAACTGTTGTTGTTCGCACGCTCTCAGTGCGACACACCCCCTGTTCCCCCCCCCCCCATCCCCTTCCAACCCCGCCAGTAGAGAACTTACAATTCCTACAATGAGCCACAGGGTTAATAAAATGCGGAGGAAACCGACAGCACGAGCTGCTGATGAATATATTCTGTCCACACACACACATTGGTACCACACCTGCGACAGGTACCCACAATATCAACAGAGAATTACTTCTTATCTTACAATCCACCCACAACCCCGCGCACATTCAACCATAGCCGAAGGCACAGCTTACACCATGGCACCACTATATGAGAATACAAAGCTATAATGTTAGGGGGCTGAACACCCCATATAAGAGGCACTGCCTCTTCAGAGATCTTAAAAGGGATCAACCAGATGTCATTTGCTTGCAAGAGACACACTTTAAATCCCCACCAGCAATGAAACAAGCCCTATATCCACACCAGTTCCATGCCACGTCCGGGAAAAAAACTGGGGGCACATCAATCTTAATCAGCAACACGGTCTCCTTCCACCACCATGACACAAAGAAAGACATAGAGGGAAGGTACATCATAGTCATATGCACAATCAACAACTCTAAATACACTCTGGCCAATATATACGCACCAAACACAAACCAAAGAAACTTTCTACATAAAATACTAACATTACTACAACCGATTCAGGAAGGCATTCTAGTTCTCTGTGGGGACTTCAACCAAATTCTAGACCCCCACAGCGACACGACCTCTGCAAGAACCAAAGGGCCTCAGGCTAGACACGACAGGGCATGCACAACATACCTCAAACTACTGGACAGCCACCGACTGTACAATGTGTGGAAAGTCCTACACCCACAGGAAAAGGACTATACATACTACTCCTCCACACACAATACATACACAAGAATAGATAGATTTCACTTGGAGAGCCAACACCTAGACCAAGTGCTAGACTGCTCCATAGGCCAGATCTCGTGGTCTGACCACGCCCCACTGACATTGACCCTAAAAGACAACTATGACTACAAGCACAAGAGCCCATGGAGACTAAACTAAACATTGCTGACGGACGAATCCTTCGCTAAGCAACTTGAGGAAGCCATCTCGGAATTCTTCACGTTGAATAGCACAGGGGAAACAACAGCTAGCACTGTATGGCAAACACACAAAGCAGTCATTAGGGGGCTACTTTTGAGGCGAGCAGCACAACTAAAACGTTCCAGCCAAACCCAGTGGCTGGCATGGCACAAACAACTAGCGGATCTAACGACAGCGAACAAAACCCTTCCGACGGTGACAACACAGAAAGCCATTAAAGACATTGCGGATAAGATCAAACTTCACACTTTAGAACGAGTAGGGTTTAATCTTCGCAAACTTAACTCC